TGTGGTGTCATCGCTCCAAACGCTCGCGTATGGAGCGGTGTCGCAAAGTGGTCAGCGCACCGCTCTACGCGAACCTGGGCTGAGCCGAGTTCGATTCTAGGCCACGGCTAACATCAGTTGGAGGGAAAGAGTGAGTGAGAGAGATCTGAGCCGGTTGTGGAGCGGGCGCCACAGACCCGTACCGAAGAGTAGAGTACACCCTCAAACAAGAGTAGAGTATACTCTTTGGTTCTTTCGGTAAAGTCACGTATGTAGAAACAATAACAGATCACGACGTTTCGATCGCAACACAAGCGACCGTCTTCAGGTGAGAGAGAGAAAGCGACTGAAACAAGGTCTGATGTCGGCTTGCGATGGGTGCAGCCTAGGCCTCGGCAAGGTAAGGTAAAAGTTAAAAGGTAAAAACAACGAGCCTACCTTTACCCTACCTTTTACCTTACCACAATACAATCGCTCTACCCTACCTACACATGAACAAGGTTTATAACGGTAAATGCTAGGTAAAGCGCTTTATTCATATAGAATACTCTCGATGATTCCAATTTTACACGCTTGTTGTTGTCGATGTTGTTGTTGTTGTCATTGTTGTCGTCGTTGTTGTATCCTCAAATCTTGTAACTCAATTTTTACCCACTTTCTAATGTGGTATCGACTGCAAATTTGGTATACTTATGTCAAATTGATGACAATACTTTATTCTATCATAAAAAAAACATTATTGTTTATATGTTATGTTTCGGCTTGAGTCTAATTGTCCACGCTCAACTGACGTCTGTAAATCACCACGGTCCCTTACGATATGGCAAGCTTCGGGGCCACTTCCTGGAGTCGTGGAGTTCTGCCATTAATAGTACATTTAATAAAAGCATGTTTTAACTTTTTTTTTTATATTACTTATTAAATGGAGGCCACGGACTGCGCCACGGAGCTTTTAGTGGTAAACTAGGTACCGTATTTACCGGGTAATACTTCACGCTTCCTTTACCCTACCGGGTAATTATTCCGAGCTACCTTTACCCTACCCTTTACCTTACCCCTTGGCATGTCGACACCTTTACCCTTCACCTTTACCCTTTTACCCGGCAAAAAGGGTAAATTACGTTACCTGGCCGAGGCCTAGTGCAGCCTCACGGCAAGAGGGCAGGGCTAGAGACGGTCTGCCTGAGGCTGTGGGAGTGGGCGCTAGGCCTCGGCAAGGTAAGGTAAATTACCTTTTTTACCGGATAAAAGGGTAAAGGTTTCGACATGCCAAGGGGTAAGGTAAAGGGTAGGGTAAAGGAAGCTTAGAAGAATTACCCGGTAGGGTAAAGTTAGCGCGAATAATTACCCGGTAAATACAGTACCTTGTTTACCGCTAAAAGCTCCGTGGTGCAGTCCATGGCCTCCATTTTAAATTGCGATCATTGATGTCGGACCAGATGGAGACGGACCACGTTCTTGAGGTAGAGGTAATAGAGGACGAGGTCGAGGATGCCAGCAACGACATTTTTGGGGTTGCTGTGAACAGCAATCGAAAGAGGCAGCGACATGCGTTCCCGTGGGAGCACACGCACCATTGGATGGAGGGTGATCCCCATGTACAGCAAGGGAAGCGGCAGTGCGTGCACTGCCGCAAGTGGTTTTCCACCCACACGAACGCGTCGGGGTGGAAAGCGCACCTCAAGAAGCACAACGTGCTCGCCCCAGGCAGCGAGGTCGGGACGTCGGCGTCAGCTGCCTGAAGGTTCCGTCTAACTGGACTGGAGCGGCGAAGGATCTTATTGCCTGTCGTTCGTCCGAGGACGATGACGAACTTGATCAGGTTGTTGATGAGATCGCCATCGACCAAGACGACTGGGACGAGGCGGTTATGGAGGGCGGTTATGGAGGGCGGTGTCGTCAACAGCCTCAATGCCCGATTAGAGAGTATTCTATATGAATAAAGCGCTCTACCTAGCATTTACCGTTATAAACCTTTTTCATGTGTAGTTCCATAGTAATTACCCTGTATTCGGGTAATTGTGTATGGGGTAAGGGTAAAAGGTAGGGTAAAGGTAGGCTCGTTGCTATTTACTTTTTAAATCCTTTATATTAAGTTCACTTGCTTGCTTGCTTAGGACCGTGCAAATCTTTCAGTCGTTTTTTAATCCACTTCCCGTGATCCAATCGAGCTGACATTTTCCACACAGACTCGTTGTGCGTGACAATTAATGTTCGTGAAAAAAAAGCCAAAATTTTACACTTTTTAGGACAAAAATATTATATTTAATTACCAATTGCTTAATGCTGCCATGCAATCATCTGACCCATAGGTGGCAGCCATCTCAAGCCAGAGGACAAGAGGACTCTAGCCGCCACGCATATAAAGGATTTATAGTGAAAAACTTTGTTTTTACAGGTTATACTTGTTACCTTTTACCTTACCTGCTAAAGGGTAAAATGTAGGGTAGAGCGATTGTATTGTGGTAAGGTAAAAGGTAGGGTAAAGGTAGTCTGGTTTTTTTTACCGTTTAACTTTTACCTTACCTTGCCGAGGGCTAGAAGTGGCTATTGTATTGTGAGAGATTAGCATGTAAATGCACGAGCTTAGTATGCCACCGCATCGGTGACTTGCCTAGTATGAGAGTGCAATCCAAAGGACATGTGAGCATGAGAGTGCAATCCAAGAGGCACCGAGAGAGACACACACAATCAGTCGGAAATAACAGCTTATACAGGCAGGTAGGATGGAAACATCACAGTCATTTAAGACTTTACCTGGTTATTACGTCCCTCCAATGATTGCTCAGTTTGTACCCATCTTCACGGTTGAAGTTGTGTCTCTGTTTATATATCTGGATGGCTTCATGAACATATCTCTGAAGGAAGCCGGTAGGTTTGCAGAGTACCTCCGTCTTGGAAAAATCGATTTCTTGTGAGCCCACAGCGTTAAAACAATGATCAGCAACGGCTGAGGTATTGGTCCTACCGTTTTCAGATCTGCCTTGTGCACACGAATGCGGTCCGAGACATGTCGTTTCGTTTCCCCAATGTAACTGCTGCCGCAACCACAACTAAGTTTGTAGACACCAGGGTATTGCATGTCAAGAATCACATCCTTTACAGGTGGGATCAAATCACGGATTTTGTGTACTTTGTTAAAACGAACCTGGATCTTGTGTTTGTTTAAGATTTTGGAAATCTTTTGGTAACCCCTGCTATGTATGGTAAAGTGATGGTTTTGGTTGGATCCTCAGAAGGTTGTCTCCCCATTGCCATCTCTATCCTCGCCCTCTTACCCTGAGGCTGCACTCATCTCAAGCTTACATCAGACCTTGTTTTAGTAGCTTTCTCTCTCACCTGAAGATGGTCGCTTGTGTTGCGAACGAAACGTTGAGATCTATTATTTTTTCTACCTACGTGACTTTACCGAAATAACCAAAGAGTATGGATTCCTGCAGTCACGAAAGCTTCAAATCAAGAGTAGAGCACGCCCTCAAACAAGAGGAGAGTTCACCCTCAAACAAGAGGAGAGTAGAGGACACCCTCAAACAAGAGGAGAGTAGAGGACACCCTCCAACAAGAGGAGAGTTCACCCTCAAACAAGAGGAGAGTTCACCCTCTAACAAGAGGAGAGTTCACCCTCTAACAAGAGGAGAGTAGAGGACACCCTCAAACAAGAGGAGAGTAGAGGACACCCTCCAACAAGAGGAGAGTTCACCCTCTAACAAGAGGAGAGTTCACCCTCTAACAAGAGGAGAGTAGAGGACACCCTCAAACAAGAGGAGAGTTCACCCTCAAACAAGAGGAGAGTTCACCCTCTAACAAGAGGAGAGTAGAGGACACCCTCAAACAAGAAGAGAGTAGAGGACACCCTCAAACAAGAAGAGAGCACACCCTCAAACAAGAGGAGAGTAGAGCACACCCTCAAACAAGAGGAGAGTAGAGGACACCCTCAAACAAGAGGAGAGTAGAGGACACCCTCAAACAAGAGGAGAAGACCCCCTCAAACAAGAGGGGAGGACACCCTCAAACAAGCCCGTGCCTTCGGCACGCCTCGGAGCTGGGGGGGGGGGCTTCATCCATTCAGCAGTGGGGAGCGGTGGTGCAGTGGTTAGCGCGCTGCGCTACGACCCGGGTTCGATTCCCGCTCACGGCCAACACCGGCGACGAATATCTGAACCGGTCCTGGGCCTCCCCTAGGTCGACTCAGGCTCAAATGAGTATCCGGTGCGATGTTTAAACATCGCCACTGGGGACACAAAGGCGGCCGGGCGTGGTGTTGGCCACCCACCTCGTGTGCCGTGCCGGCCTCGCTTACAGCACTTGCCCCTACAGTCTGTTAAGGCTATACGGGGGATCTTTGTCTTTATCTGTGTACGTGTGTGTGTACGTGTGTGTGTCTGTATGTGTGTGTGTCTGTATGTGTGTATGTGTGTCTGTATGTGTGTGTCTGTGTGTGTGCATGTGTGTGTGTGTCTGTATGTGTGTGTCTGTGTGTGTGCATGTGTGTGTCTGTATGTGTGTCTGTGTGTGTGTCTATGGCACAGTCAGATCGCCCGAGGCCATTCCCACGCGGTCTGCACGCCGTGACGCGCCGCCGCATCCAGACCGACTCCTCGCATCTCTCCCCTCTCTCGACGTGTCGCTCACTCGACCATCGCTGCTTCTGCTGCCGGATCCGACGTCTTGGGATTCTCGCACACTTGGTTTCTTTTGGTAGTGTTTGCTATTTACCGTCGTGGACGCCACAAAACGCCCCCCCCCCCCCCCCGAGTCTCTCTCTCACGTGTGCTGGCATCCAGACCACGGCGGCGTCATTAGAATAACAATGAGGCACGGCGCTCAGATGCTCGCCCCACGCCGCCTCCAATACCACCCAGAGCGGTGTCGGTGTGCGGCCACGCTGTGATGGACGAATTCTGCCGGGTGTTGCACCCTTCCCATCGTCAGCGCGCTCTCTCACAAAAACCGCGACTCCACATTGCAAACGCTCCACCGCCACCACCACCACACGCCACAGCAATCCCCGTGCCACCAACCTTGAATGAATTCAGAGCAGCCTTCCTCCTTCCTTACGAGCACAGGGCACTGGGCGACATCGGATGAGGCGGCGGCGGCTGCTGCAGGGGGAATGGACGCCAGGTGAGCGATGGTGGTGAGCGCTGTGAGAATTCTGATCCAGAAATGGTCAATGAACGGTGGAGGGGATGTGGAGAGCAGGCGGGGACTCTGTTGCTGCAGCACCGCTGACGTCGGCCGGGAGGGATGGAGGAGGAGGGAGGGAGGGAGCGCATGAATCACTCAGCTGATGAACGCGAGGAGCGAGCGCGCACTGATCCCAGCAGCAGGGCCAGGGGAGGGGCCACTCCTCGGCGCGCAGGGGGGTGGGGGTACCACCCCTACCCCGACTGGGGGTGACATCGCAGTGAGCGGACACGCTGGGAGCCCAATTGTCAGCGAACCCCGCAGGAGGGAAGACCACCGCGTGCGTGCGACTCGACGGGGCGAGGTGGAGAACGCGTGCGGGAATGGCGGCTGCGTGAGAGGGAGACGCAGAGTAAAACACAATCACGTAGCAAGAGCAGAGAGCGAACGAAGGGAGTCGTGCTTACGACTCGGCTCGGAGACTCCGACCGGGACCCCCACTGGCTCCAAGCACTCGCACGGAGCGCGCCCCCCCCCCAGGCCCCCGCCACTGCGAACCCAGACCGGGAGGCACTGCAGCGTTCACCTCTCACGCGCCGGGGGCTCACGCGGGGCGCCAGATGGGTGGCACGTCTCTGTGTGTGTGGCTCACACAGCCCGCACCGACCCGCATCGACCAGCGTGGTGAAGTATGGTCAAATCACTCCCAGGACCCCGCAGCAGCGGCACGGGCACCCAGGGAGGAGGTGGAGGAGGAGTTGGGGGTGTTCAGGACCAAACGCCACTCGGCGCTTGACCGCGAAAGCAAATGGGCGAATGTTCAAGAAAACGGTTGTGACGTGTGGCCCATTGTCAATCCACTGCTGGATGAAGGCCTCCGCACGCCGTGTTGTCTGACCATACTTCACCACGCTGGTCAACGCGGGTTCGTGAAGAGGGGGGAAGCAGAACAGGTTCACGACTCGCACGCCTCCGACGTGAGTCCGAGCCAGGAGTGGAGCTCACTCAGGCACCGCGTTCAGTAGAGCAGCGCATATGAACTATGTACTCACTATGTGCAGATTATACAGTAAGATTATGGTTAGCATATATGAATAGTAGTACTTGAAAAAAACACGATAAACAAATGGATTAAATTGGATACATCAAACTCCAGTTTTTGTAAGTTCCAGGTTAAATTGGTGGCGAGATGTTAACGACCTCGCCTGCTATGCAGGAGGTTCGTGGGTTCGACGCCTGCTGCTGCTGCTATCTATTTGGAGTTTGCGGTGTCTCTCTCACCGTGGTCCTCGGGGGTTTCCCTCCACATTTAGAATCAAGGCCGCCACCACGCCGCGCTCAGAGTGTTTGGCTGCTGTGAATGTCCACGTGGTGAGAAGCTGCTTCGTGGAGCCGTCATCTGCGATGGCCAGGTCGCTTATGACAAATAGAGCTCAGTGGGCCTCTCCTGGTGAAACATTTTAATGTAGTAAATTTTTTATTCAGTTAGTTTAGTAAAGAGGTATTTGTATACAATGCGTAAAGGCAATGTTGCGAAAACCTGCAGAAATGTGTCACTCTAAGGATGGGACATTGAGCGACTTTGCTCGGTGACACTCAGAGAGTCCCGGCCCCACCAACGTCGTGGCCACGAAGCCACCCCCAGTCTGCAGCGAGAGACGACAGCGCTGGGCACGCCGAGACCCTGGCTCGCTCCTGCCGCCGAGACCCTGGCTCGCTCCTCCCGCCGAGACCCTGGCTCGCTCCTCCCGCCGAGACCCTGGCTCGCTCCTCCCGCCGAGACCCTGGCTCGCTCCTCCCGCCGAGACCCTGGCTCGCTCCTCCCGCCGAGACCCTGGCTCGCTCCTCCCGCCTGATTGCGGTGGACAGCGGGACACGTGCTGCAGCCCTTTTGGCAATCCACTTAGAAGGTGCCGCACTAAAATAATTTTCAGAGAGAGAGAACGACATCGTATTTCAAAGCCTCTATACGCGACTCCAACCAAGTGCAGTGCGAAGCGTTAACACCGATAAACACGTTCCTCTGTGATATATGCAGCCATCACTGTAACAATGTGCAGTCACTTGTTGAGCAGAGAGAGGTTCATTAGGAATCTCTGGGGGGCTGATTGAGGGAAGAGTGAGGGGCTGGTTGAGGGGAGAGTGAGGGGCTGGTTGGGGGGAGAGTAGGGGGCTGGTTGGGGGGAGAGTAGGGGGCTGGTCGGGGAGAGAGTGGGGGGCTGGTTGGGGGGAGAGTGGGGGGCTGGTTGGGGGGAGAGTGAGGGGCTGGTCGGGGAGAGAGTGGGGGGCTGGTTGGGGGGAGAGTGGGGGGCTGGTTGGGGGGAGAGTGAGGGGCTGGTTAGGGGGAGAGTGGGGGGCTGGTCGGGGAGAGAGTGGGGGGCTGGTTGGGGGGAGAGTGGGGGGCTGGTTGGGGGGAGAGTGAGGGGCTGGTTGGGGGGAGAGTGGGGGGCTGGTTGGGGGGAGAGTGAGGGGCTGGGGGAGAGTGAGGGGCTGGTTGGGGGGAGAGTGGGGGGCTGGTTGGGGGGAGAGTGGGGGGGCTGGTTGGGGGGAGAGTGGGGGGCTGGTTGGGGGGAGAGTGAGGGGCTGGTTGGGGGGAGAGTGGGGGGCTGGTTGGGGGGAGAGTGGGGGGCTAGTTGGGGGGAGAGTGGGGGGGGCTGGTTGGGGGGAGAGTGGGGGGCTGGTTGGGGGGGGAGTGAGGGGCTGGGGGAGAGTGAGGGACTGGGGGAGAGTGAGGGGCTGGTTGGGGGGAGAGTGGGGGGCTGGTTGGGGGGAGAGTGGGGGGGCTGGTTGGGGGGAGAGTGGGGGGCTGGTTGGGGGGAGAGTGGGGGGTTGATTGGGGGGAGAGTGAGGGGCTGGTTGGGGGGAGAGTGGGGGGGCTGGTTGGGGGGAGAGTGAGGGGCTGGTTGGGGGGAGAGTGAGGGGCTGATTGGGGGGAGAGTGGGGGGTTGATTGGGGGGAGAGTGGGGGGCTGGTTGGGGGGAGAGTGGGGGGGCTGGTTGGGGGGAGAGTGGGGGGCTGGTTGGGGGGAGAGTGAGGGGCTGATTGGGGGGAGAGTGGGGGGTTGATTGGGGGGAGAGTGGGAGGCTGGTTGGGGGGAGAGTGGGGGGCTGGTTGGGGGGAGAGTGGGGGGGCTGGTTGGGGGGAGAGTGGGGGGCTGGTTGGGGGGAGAGTGGGGGGCTGGTTGGGGGGAGAGTGAGGGGCTGGTTGGGGGGAGAGTGAGGGGCTGGTTGGGGGGAGAGTGGGGGGGGGGGCTGGTTGGGGGGGAGAGTGGGGGGCTGGTTGGGGGGAGAGTGGGGGGCTGGTTGGGGGGAGAGTGAGGGGCTGGTTGGGGGGAGAGTGGGGGGCTGGTTGGGGGGAGAGTGGGGGGCTGGTTGGGGGGAGAGTGAGGGGCTGGTTGGGGGGAGAGTGAGGGGCTGGTTGGGGGGAGAGTGGGGGGCTGGTTGGGGGGAGAGTGGGGGGCTGGTTGGGGGGAGAGTGGGGGGAGAGTGGGGGGCTGGTTGGGGGGAGAGTGAGGGGCTGGTTGGGGGGAGAGTGGGGGGCTGGTTGGGGGGAGAGTGGGGGGCTGGTTGGGGGGAGAGTGAGGGGCTGGTTGGGGGGAGAGTGAAGGGCTGGTTGGGGGGAGAGTGGGGGGCTGGTTGGGGGGAGAGTGGGGGGCTGGTTGGGGGGAGAGTGAGGGGCTGGTTGGGGGGAGAGTGGGGGGCACACCGTCTCGCCACACACAGATCACAGACGCACGCCGAGGTTCTGCCCACACACACAGACATCACACCACACCGATATTCTGTACCAGAGTCTATTAATGGCTCCAATACGCATTACCCGGAGGATGAATATATCGCGTTGAGAGCCTAGCGTAATTCTGCCCATGAACGCAGCTACTCAAACGTCCTAACACGTACCTTGAAACTGGACTCGTGGCGTCCCACGGACACTGAGATAGTCGGAGGGAGGAGGACGAGAGAAGACTTGCCCAATCACTGTCTCGCCGCAGCACTCGCTGGCATCACACGGATGCTGCGAGCGGCTTGAAGAGGCAGGGCGGCAGGCAGGGAGTGGGTCGTGACGGCCCGGAGGTTGTAGACAACTGACCCATCTTTATACTCTCGCTGCCGCTCCGCCCACTCATTGTTCTCCCGTGCCCAGTAGTTCGCGTCTTAGGGTCTGCTCTTTATGCCTAATATTCCACCCTCCGTCCTCCCCCCAATGTTGCGTGTAACTCATTGCGGTTGGCCAGGGATCCTTTTCTTTTTGCGCCCGTACAATTTTAAGCCACTTTAGGGGCATCGCTATGTAACCTGTCCTGTGGGGGTCGGCCAATCTCCTGGCACTGGGAAACCGTGGGACTCTTCCCCTCGGGGCCCTTAGGATTGAGGCAACCCCCCGCCAATATACTACGTGGGTGCACTGCGTGCGTCGGTGTGTTTTGTGCGGGGTGGGAGTCGCGGCGCTTGCGGAGTTGCTCCACGGTCGTGGCACCACAATTTCTCATCATCGCCACCACCACCACCAACCTCCACTGTTGTCAAATCATCATCACAGGCAGTGTGGTTCTTAACTATAACTGCAGCCTTGGTTCTCAATCGTGATTTGTTTTCATAATGTGAATAAATACAAAGGGTTTGATGAAACAAAGCAGTTGTAATGAAAAAACACATTGGTTTATTGAAGTCATTGTTATTAAACATTTACCATTTCCCCCCATATGTTTGTGTAGCGGCATTGTTACGCGCAACATGTGTACTACCTGCGTAGCAGTATTGTATGGGTCACGTACACTCACCTCTAGTGGCGCCCTCAGTGTGTAGGGGGCGCAGGACAGCCAAGGGGGCTGTTGAGTGACAGGTGTAAGACCCACGACTACAATAACCGTTGACCAGGGGTGAGGGGGCCAGAGCCCACTGAGGGAGGGGGCTGGGGGGGGGCAACGGTCAGACCCAGACCCTCTCGAGAGAAGGCGGGTGGGAGAGAGGCGTATATAAAGGGCAGCAGCTCTCCCAGCGTGAGTCAGTCCGCACTCACCTCAAGACCCAAAGACGTCTAGATAGCGCCCTGGGACTTCCGACCCCCCGCCCTTGTCAGGGCTAGGTCCGAATTGCCAAGTGGCAGCACCCGTTACCCTGGCAAGGTCGGGTGAGCATAGCCTCCCCTAGGT